CGCACCATGTTCAGCCAGTGAGCGCTGTGAGGGCACCAGTCATTCCTATATAGGATCCGAACCCGCGGCGGGAGCGCTGCTGCGTTCCCAGCGCCGCACTCTCCCGGCTTGGCCTGACGTTTGAGTATTTCTAAAGCGCTCTGGTTTTTGAGTTAATGTGCTTGGGAAGGTCAAGTGGGGGGCGGGGTGTTTGTGAGGTGCTGACATTCTCTTCCCTTTGCTTGGTAATGGTGCTGCCCGTCACCCCCTCACCTGTTCCTTGTCTTTGTCATCATCGCTTGGCATCTTCTTTGCCTGTTAGATCCTAAACCTCAATGAATCATCTTTTAAATTAAATCAGGGTTTGGAGATATAGACTAGGTTTTGGGATTGGAAAAGTCATGTGTTTTTCTTGTGAAATGTCTCCTGCTCAGGTGCTCATGAGTGTGGAATCCATATAACATATAAGAACATATTATGTTGGCTTTTATTGCATTTTTTGTTGTAATGGCCTTCGACCTATAATAGTGAAGAATCTAAATTGTCTCTAGGCTTGTCATTAACTAATTTGTTAGGTACTATTAGCAGCTTGTGGTGAAAACTGGTATTTTCCTCTTGCAGACTGAATAAAATACGGGGGGCATCTGGGAAATTGTTTGCCTTCTTGGCCTGGCAGAAACATTAGTCTCTTGGCTGATAAAAGATGAATTTTAATTTTACGTGATTGTAGTCTTACAGTTTGTTTGTGAAGCTGTAGTATCTTTTTTGTCTTTTTTTTTTTTCGTGACCAGCAACGGATCGCAACCCTCAGTGTCGCGCCCGTACTGGACCGGGACCGGCCACGGGATCGCAACCCTCGGTGTTGCTCCCGCCCCTCGCTCTTTTCTGTTCTCTGAATCTTCTTTCCGTGGAAGATTACATATAATTGTTTTCTGAAAGCCAGACTTTGTTTTCTCTTAGAAACTGGTGAACCAAAGAGAGCAGGGCCTGGAGGAGATGGAAGCAAGAGAGATGGGAAGCAGGATGGCTTTGCCTGGTGGACACAGATACAGAAGGTTTGTGTGTCTGAGGACCAGACCCAGACACCCTGTCTCTCCCCACAAGAGGCAGTCACTGCAGAGCCGATGATGTGCATAGCTTTATTTCAGTCCATTCTGCTGCTGTAACAAAATACCTTGGACTGGGTAATTTATAAACAGCATAAATTTATTACTCATAGTTATGGAGGCTGGAAATCCAAGGTCATGGTGCTGGCAGGTTTGGTGTCTGTTGAGGGCCTGGTTTCTGCCTCCTAGATGGTGCCTGGAACGCAGCATCCTCCGGAGGGGATGAACACTGCATCCCCACATGATGGAAGGTACTCTCTTCCTCAAGCCCTTTTATAAGGGCACTAATCTCATTCGTGAATATGGAGCCCTCATGACCTAATCACCTCCCAAGGGTCCACCTGTCAATACCATTACCTTGGGGGTTGGGTTCCAGCAAAGGAATTTTGGAGTGACACGTACATTCAAACCATAGCATTCTTTCTGCCTCTTTAGGGACAAGCAAGTGAATTATTTCGGAGATCCTAAAATACTGATTTCTAAAACTGTGTTCAGATTTCTATCTGAATTTTAAAAGACCCAGATAAGAGAGAACCCCAGCAACAAGGGCTCCAAAGGCAGACTCTCTGGGGATTTTCTGCTCCTCTTGGGGCATCTGGTGAGCTGTAACATTTGATGTGTTCTTTTTTTTTTTTTTTCCTTTTTGTCTTTTTTTCGTGTCCGGCAATGGATCGCAACCCTCAGTGTCGCGCCCATACCGGACCGGGACCGGCAATGGGATCACAACCCTCGGTGTTGCTCCCACACCTCGCTCAGCCAATGAGCGGGAACCGGTCTGTATGTGGGATCCGAACCCTCGGCGGGAGCGCCACCGCACTCCCAAGCGGCGCACTGTAGCAGTGCGCCACCGGGCCGGCCCATGATGTGTTCTTATACACCGTGTAAAAGTCTTTCCTCATGAGAGGAGCAGTCTCGGCTTCACCACATACTGAGGTCGCATGGTATTGTATCAGGAGGAGGGGAGAGTTTGGACAACTTCTTCAGTAACATCTGAAAAAGGAAATAGCCGTTTTCATGAAGAAACCACCCTCATTTAACTGTAAAACGTGTTATTTTTCCTTCCACAGGGGGAGTTCCCCTGGGACGACAAGGATTTCTGCAGTCTGGCTGTTTTGGGGGCTGGTGTTGCCATGGGATTTTTCTACTTCTACTTTCGAGATCCTGGAAAAGAAATCACCTGGAAGCACTTTGTACAGTATTACCTGGCCAGAGGTCTGGTGAGGAATTTATAGTCTGTCTGCCCAGGAAGGAGGCCCCTGCATGGGGCCTGTGAGGCCCTTAAGAGGCTGGGAGCTCCCAGGCCTGGGTGGAGACTCCATTGTCCTACCCGCGGGGCACAGACAAGGCACAATTTTACTTTTTCCAATAAGTAGACCAAAATAATGGTGTTATGCCCACTTTCTCCGCTAACATCATGGCCTGACTTTTTCTTAGCTTTGGCTTTTAAGACTTAGTTCTGTCTGTCCATTTATCTTTAAATTCCAGCCTCATATCTGATTCAGATCTTTCCTGTCCCCCTAGTGCACCCTGGCCCCTGCTGGCTGGCCCTGGACAGTGGGCCTGGGCTTTCAGCCCTGGGGCTTGATGTCTGTGCATTGGAGCCTATGGCACCAGCAGAGCCCTGGTGTCCTTCACAGACACGGTCTGTTGGTTAGGGTGCTGAGGCTGGGTGATGTACTGCCGGCTTCAGTGTGAGCGTGCACAGGAGCAGGTGCCTTGTGCCTCGGTCACCATCAGAAGGATGTTTGCTGAATGACACACTGTTAAGATCTGAACTTCAGTCTGGTGACATTTGCAGGAAACACTTGTTTCCCACCAGAGTCTGTGATCAGTGCCTTTTTTTTCTGGCCACAGGGCACATGCCTGTCTTCAGAGAGGCCCTTGGTGGCTCTCCCTCCAGTAGTCAGGGAGAAGGCTGCTGCAGCCCCTTCTTACCCATGGACCTGCCACCTACAGGTGTGGCTGTAAGGAGGGGTGAGACAGGTGTGTTGGGCCCAGGCTGCCTTCCTGTGTGTGGATTCTGGACAGATTTCAGCATTTCCACAACATCCTTTCTGAGGGTCTGACATGGCTGCAGGGATGTGGTCATATTGCTGTGGTTGTAAGGTACCTCAATAATGAAAACATTCGCGTTAGTCACGTAACCCTAAGTTTTCATTTAGTTTCCAAGGAAAGTCATGTTGTAGTGGTTTATGATTCTGTGGGAGTAGAAGGGATGACGATGTTGTCGTTACGCTTCAGAAACTGGGTCGCACTCTCCAGCTGTTCCTTCTTTTGCGTTGCTTCTCAGAGGGCCATGCTAGCCTTCTGGGCAGCTGTGTGGAGAGGTGGTGGCAGCTTGTGGGCCTTGGGGCTGTGTTCTCAAGTCTTGCTGGCACCGTTTTCTTGTGGTACCTGCAGCTGGGTGGATGAAATGCCTCTAAACCAGCTCTGTATTTAACACTTCACTGTATTGTCAGTTTAAGACTTTTATGAATTTCTTTTAGATTTTTAGTCCAGTCTGGACTCTTGGTGCTCAGATGTTTCAAATTTTAGTACCTCTTCTTGAATTGGTTCGTGTTTGTTAAAATGGAAATAGGTTTATACCGCAGGCTAAAATGTCCAAGTTAGTTGGTGGGAAAACAAAACTTGGATCTCTGCTGCGGAGTTTGTGTGGTTTCTTGGATGCAGTTGGAATCTCTGTCTGCACTGTGGACTGTGTCTGAGGATGAGCCTGTGGTTTGCTGTTGAACATCCTACCTCCTGCTTCAGTTGTTCTGATTATTTTTCTCTTTTTCTAGGTGGATCGGCTGGAAGTTGTGAACAAGCAGTTAGTGCGTGTTATTCCTCCCCCTGGGACGTCTTCCAAGGTGAGAGGTGGGTTTAAGGCTGAGTGTTCCAGACATAGGTTTTTTAAAATGTAAAATGTAGTTTTTTGGTTTTTTCAGTAAAATGCCTCGCCTAGTATCCAGCAGCAGCCCCTGTTAATGTGATGGTTTATCTTATTGACATGTATCAATAATGAGGTCTTCCAAGTAGGACAGGAGCACTTACACTACTGTACCTGTGACTCAGTTTTGCCGAGTAGTGTCTGAACCACTTACCAAAGTTTGGGAGGAGAGAAGAATGAAAAGACAAAGAAACGGTGACAAAAGAAAACTTCAGCAGATGTTGCCTCACTTTATACTTTCATCTAGAACTTAAAGTTTGTAATGTGGTGGGGCCAAAACCAAAAGATCTCCTGTTAGGAGAGTTGTCTTTAGAGCTGTCCTCAGGGTGCGACTTACCCGTGTTGTGGAAGTCAGGGCTAGGTAAGAGGCTTTGCTAGAAGAGGAGTTGGTGAGGATGGCAGGCTGTGGGCAGGTGCTTGTGTTGGGTTGTCTCGGTGTGGGACACAGTGGTGCAGCCTAAACTTGTTCTCGGTCTCGATCTCCGCAGAAATTCGTGTGGTTTAACATTGGAAGCATCGACACCTTTGAGCGCAACCTGGAGTCTGCTCAGCGGGAGCTGGGGATTGAGCCCACCAGCCAGGCAGCCGTGGTCTACACAACTGAGAGGGACGGGTGAGTGGCTGGGATGAGGGGACAAAGCGCCACTCCAGTCCAGGGCCTCTGATTCTGAGCACAAAACAAAAATTCAGTGTTCAACCTGTTTTGGAATGTGCTTCTTTCAAGCATTTTACAGGCATCTGCTAATATTTACAGTGTCTGTAGTAAAAAACATATATGTGTGTTAGCTCTTCTATTGAGAAGAGAATTATTGAAGCAGGAAAATATTTAGATAGGCAGCCTTAAAAAAGTGTTGGATGGGAAAAATCAAACAGATGATGGATGTTGTATCATCATTGTAACACAAATTTCTTAAAGCCTTGTAGGAAACCTTCCAAAATCTGGCCACGCATAGGATCCCCGTGGGAACCCTTTCAAAATGCACCACCATTCTCTCCACGCCCCACTCCTGCAGACCTGTTGAAGCAGAGTGTCCACAAATTTCTTAAAGCCTTGTAGGAAACCTTCCAAAATCTGGCCACGCATAGGATCCCCGTGGGAACCCTTGCAAAATGCACCACCATTCTCTCCACGCCCCACTCCTGCAGACCTGTTGAAGCAGAGTGTCCAGAGGTTGGCCCAGCAGCCGTGGCCTCCCCAGATTCCTGGTGCTGGCGGTCCCTGCTGTGAGCCCTGCAGCTTCTGATGCACAGTCAAGCTGTGCTAATGCACAGCTCTCATGTCATCTTGTGTTCTTTCTTGAATTTCACTGCACAATATGTCCCTAAAACCATTATGGACTTGGGGGCAAATACCAGATTAAATACTCTGTGTACATCTCAAGACTTAGCATGGAGGTCAGCAGTGCTGAGCTCAGGTCCTGCTCTCACATTGACTTACTGGTGATGTCAGTGCCCTTCCCCTCTGAATTGAAAACTGAATCAGGAGCAGGTACGAGCTTAGTACCAACTTTAGCCAGGAGATGGGTAAAGAATTGGGATAATGGTGGTTTGGGTGGTTTCTTTAACTTCTAGATGTGTGTTTGAGGGCAGAGTGGGGATTGCATGGGGATGAGAGGAGATGAGGTAGGCAGAGTCCTGCAGGTGGGTTCTCAGAATTGCAGTGATGGGCCCAAAGTGCCCACAGTCTCCCACTAGAGCCCCCGAATATCATCTAGGGGGCTGTTTATTGTTGACTTGAGTTTTTACTTGCTAAGTTGTCAGGAATACTGGTTGCATGTGGGCCTGTCTTGTGGGAGTTGAGGATTTGTCCTGGGGCTGAAAGTGATAAGTGTGGCCTGGAGGAGTGGAATGGCCTCACGCCTCTGGAGGGCATGGGTACTCTCCCTCTTTTGCTGATATTTCAGTTTCCATTTATAGGAGAAAATATGAAGTATAGACAAAACAGATGGAGATTCAGTGTAAAGTAGAGAAATTCTGCTGTGGTGAAACAGGCCTGGTTGGCCTCAGCTGAGAGGAGGCTGCACTGTGTCTGTGGGGAGCACATCCTAGGGGTGCTGCCTGGTTCCAGGTTGTAGAGGAGTCAGCCCCTCCCCACCCACAGACTGAAGTGTGGGACCAGACATTCAGAATGGGAGAGGCTGAGTGCTATGGGGTGAAACTTTAAAATTTGATACATTTTAAAATAGAAACCGCTCCCTTTTTGCATGAAGAAAAGTTCTAGAGCAGTCCACCCTTCTGGCCTGAAGGTGGTATTTCTGCCCTCTCTGCTGAGGGAAGGTGACAAGTGGTTTTCTTGGATTTTCTAGGTCTTTCTTGAGAAGTCTGGTGCCCACCCTTCTCCTGGTGGGCATCGTTCTCTATGCTGTGAGGAGGGGCCCGATGGGGGCTGGGCGCAGCAGGCGAGGAGGGGGCCTTTTCGGTGTTGGTGAGACCACAGCCAAGATCTTTAAGAACAACATCGATGTGCGATTTGCAGACGTAGCTGGCTGTGAAGAAGCCAAATTGGAAGTTATGGAGTTTGTGAATTTCCTGAAGAATCCAAAGCAGTATCAGGACTTAGGAGCCAAAATTCCAAAGGTATTGATTCCAGAAACATGGTAATGCTCTGAGCTCCAGTTCCTAGCTGGAGATTGGCTGTGGTTCAGTGTTGACAGATATTCAACAACTTAATTTTTTGTGAAGGTTTTCTATTTTATTACTCATAATAAAGAATAGAAATAGCATTTGCAGAGTAGAACAGTAAAAATCCTCTTATCTGATGGACTTGAGACCACAGTGAGGTAGTTCTTAAAAATCTATAAAACTGTGGAATACCCACCTGAAGCATATTTATTTTTAACTTAAAACGCAAGTGTATGTTCTTGATTGGTTTTTATTTAGAGACCAGTCCTTCCTCTGAGTTTGGTTCCAGTGATCAGAATCTTGTTTTAGGCCGGCCTGGTGGCGCACTGCTACAGTGCACCGCTTGGGAAGCGCGGCGGCGCTCCCGCC